TAAATTAAATTCATGCTGGTTTTGTCTGGCCAGAGGAGAACTGGCCCCTCCGACTGAGCTTGGTTCTCCCAAGGTTTTTTTTCTCTATTTCTGTCACTGGTGGAGTTTTGCCTTTGGCTTGCTTAGTTGGGGACGCTTAATTTCTGGCAATATTGTCGGCTTGATTGCACAGACACTATTGGAAGAGAGCTGAACTAGATGATGACCTCACTGTATTATTGACAAACTATTTTCCTGTTTGACACTGTAAAGCTGCTTTGACACAATCAGTACTGTATAAAGCGCTATATAAATAAAGGTGACTTGACTTGTCTTGACTACTAAATAAATCTTTTTTTTTTTAAGAAATTTAAAATATATATTGTTTAGATTTAATGTTTGTATTCACTTTGTTAAATATGAGTCATGCTACTGAATGACAGAAGAAAATTACAAATAAATAAAATAAAACTTCTGATACTTCTGAAAAATCTTCTGAAAACTTCTGAAAAATCTGATTCCAATATGATTCCAAAAAGCACATTCCAAAAAAAAAACAACCCGATTTTAATCAGATATTTAGACCACATATGGATGTTTATAAACATCAGATTCCATGTTGTTTTTTCCTAAACGGATTGGAGTCGGATCTGATTCTTTCTGCTTGTCTGAACAAAGTCTTAAAATCCCACTGTGACGAGACGAGGGCTGCAGATAATGATTCCCATGCTGACTCTTGGAAAGAGGGGCTACTATACAGAGCAATGGCTGATTGACAGATTTATTAGTTAATCAATTTGTTCATTTGCTTTAGAGTCCATCAGAGAAAGGCTACGGAGGTGTGTCAAATGGAATGAGAGCTACACAGTTCAATCTGGAAATCGGAATGAAGGATTGGTCCATACCCATAAATTCAATCCCAAGAGACTCTGCCAGTGCAAAGAGTTGATAATGAAGAGCAAAACAAAAACAGAGAGAGAGAGAGGAAAAACAAGATTTAAGAGAGAGATATCCCACCATACACAGAAACACATATGGGCATTATGAAAGTCACACTGTGGACACATCATGCAAATACTATAATGTGAAAGAGAGTAAGTGCTTAGATCATGCAGGTTAGATCACGTCTGAAATACGGGTTTCTAGATGACAAACCTGGATTAATGGGTAAGTGATGATTATAATTGTGAGTAATAAAGAAGAATTATAATTAAAATCATTAAACTAGCATCTAGCACCAAACTAGTAGTTTATTTCGGTATTTATTGCATGGATTAGGATCTGAGATTTTAAAAATGAGCAGCTAGGTTAGTAGATTCGATTTTATGAATTAATGTCATTGTGGGGCAAAGTCACTGTTAGACACTTTAATTCATGTTATTCTACGGCAGTTATTTCAACTCTGTCATTAATATAATTATTGTTATACTACAAACAAAACAACAACAAGTATGCAAGAATGCAAGTAAATTAATATACATTCCAGTGGTCATTACACTACACAATTAAAATATCTCTGATGTGTCTTACCTGTGGGGCACACAGACAGCTGATATTATTCATAAAACATTTTGGTGCATTTTTATGTTAATTGTTAATATCAAGATGCTATTTACACTCTGGGACGTGTATATTAGTAAAACATGCTCTATGCAACAAATATTATGATTAGCCAAAGTAACTTTTTACTTAATTTCATTTGCCTGCATCTTCAGTCTGGTTTGAGTGTGCATTCAGATACTTGTGAATAGAGAAAGCAATCATAGCGGCTTTAAATGAGGAGCTCTGAGTGTCATAACTGGTGGTATACTGTAGCTGATAATGCTATCAAAATATGTTCTTACACAAAGGGCCCTGGGTTCAGGATAATTCAATTATTTGAATTAATGGATGAGCGACAAGCACTTTTCTGGCCAGCTCACGTGACTAATACTAGCTGCAGGAAATTCCCACTGTTGCCATGACAACGGAATTTCACAGGCCTGATAGAGGTGGAACAGATGAGCAATCCTCAGGTAGAGATAAGCTACTGCTTTTTAAAAATACTTTTATTTTTTACTTTATAATGCAAAAAATTTAATAAAAATCAATAAAAACACTGTAACACTTTACAATAAGGTTCATGCTATTGCTAGTATGGTAAAAAGCAGCTTGGATATTCCTCAAGATTTCTCCTTTTATGTTCCACAAAAGAAAAATTGAGTCAGTATTACTTTTCAGTGAACTATCCCACAGTAACAGCTCTGAATTATTATTTTTTTTAAATAAAAATCAATCAATCAATCAATCAATATTTTTTTTCTGTCAGTTATTCCAGGGCCTGCAGTCTTAAAGCCCCGGGGCTGTCACAGTGCTCCTGCCAGAGGTCAGCTACCGTTTTAGCTCTCTACTATGACTCTAATTGGTCGTGCGATTACAATTCTCTCAACAGCAAGTTGAATAGAAAGTGACAGAAAATCACTTTCTCTCGGAGACGACAGCTCTGAGGACACGTCTGCCCTCATGCACAACCTGCACACTGGGATTTACAGCTGGGCTTTGCATGTAGAAATGGCATCTTGTCAGATGTTCTTCTTTGTGTTGTAATATTCCTATCATGCGCTAGGATGGGGGATGCCTTCATTTCTCTCTTTCACCCATTGCGCCAAAGCCATTTTTCCTTAAGCTGCTTGTATCTACACGCACCTATTAGGCTACATTTATACTATTTACATTTCCGTCACTGCACTGTTTCAACATCTTATGTTGACAGACGCTAATTTCCAGTCCACCCAAAATGAACAGTGCTACAAAGTACAGAAAGGAAGCCTGGCTGTTGACAGCGGAAAAGCTAACAATCCACACATGCAAAGACTTGATCCACTGTCCTGATATAGGTAACAATTCAGCTCGATAAATCATGACATAACATGCCACAGGTTATAGCGCAAGTGTCATATTATCATTTTTCTTGTTTTGCACCGCTTTGAGTGTTTTTAATAACACCTAATAAATTATTCCATTTATACAGAGAGGAAATCTATTCCGTTCTACATGCAACTGTGTGTGCTTTCCGTCCACGGATAGTTTTGTTAACATCAGTCTTTCGTGTTCTACCGCCTGTCTTTTTATTAACTAATAAATATATGTTGAGTTAAGGCCATGGTAAAATGTAAACAGCAGCAGCATAGCAACGCTGTCTAGAGCACAAAGGCCTGATTATATGCACTATGTGGACAGAAGCAGGAGCCAATAGCTCACAGGCATGAGCTGTCAGGTGTAGTGATCCCTGTGCCTCCCTCTAATTTAGGTGTTTTTCTGCAGTTGATGGACATGTGCGGTGGAGACGCCAATCTGTAGCCTTATACGGTTAAAATGTGTCACCTCGGGGAAGTGGAGCTGTTTCATTTCCCAGCATAATTAAGGGGTGGATTTTTGAACTGTGGGGTGTGCAGAGGATTTGTGACAGGATTGTTTGAGGGAAACAATGCCGGTACATTGCACAGTGCTCTTGTTTTACACTACACACACCTGTGAAATTACAGAACGGTGTATTGTATGCAAATTGCTACAAGTGATAAAATAAACAGGGCAAGCTTCTTTACAAAAAATTAGCTTTTTTTTTTTTTTTTTTTTACTTTGCTGAGAACTCATGTACAGAAAACTGAGGCTGTCAAAATCATATCAAATGAAATAGGCTGTAAAAGTTGAAAACTAATTACGAAATTGCAGAACTCAATCATTTGAAATACATTACAGTTCGATAGAAAAATTATTTACATAGAGTTTGGTGGAAAAATTATTTACATATGCATTTGGAACATACTTTTATGCAAAGCGACTTTGCATTCAAGGAATACAGCTTTATACAGTTCATATATTCCCTGAAAATCGAACCCAGAACCTTGGTGTTGCTATCGCTATGCCCCACTGGTTGAATCACAGAAACTAGCATTGATATTAAAAGTCAGGTTGATAACTATTTTCATGTTTTGGCTGATAACTGATAAATGGCTGACGTTAAAATTCTATAATACACTAAATTTTAATAAAACGACAAAAAATTATTTTGGCTTTAAATGCTGTAATTTAAGCATCACAATATTACAATGTACACCATGAAAAATGGATATTAATTTTGAGATTTGCTAAAGATTATCAGTGTTTAAGATTAACTTTAAGAGTCGAATTTTATATTAAAATGTCTAACTAAATTCAACCAACTACAAGAAAAAACTGAAAAAATGAGTGTGGCAATACGAGCCAATATATATCCAATATTAACAGATACTCACAAATTAAAAAAAAAAAAATTCTATATATATATATATACATAAGTGCCCATTCTGTGATTGCACGTTTTTTATATTTAAATAATTATTAGCTGTCCATTCACATTTTTGTAACATTATTTTCTAGCTGGACAATCTATAGCATGTGTTTATGGTTAGTAAATTTACAGTAACTATATTTCTGTTGTATATGTTATGGAATGATGCAGCATTTAATTAGGGGTGTTTATTGCCATTATGATTATATATAAATGATGGTTCACTTTATTAAAGAACATGCATTCATACTTGAAAACATGCATCTCTGATCATGTTACAATATAATGTAACGTAGAATCGATTAAACAATGATGCAGGGGGTGAATGACATACTGGACCAAATAAAACTCATTAATTGTTAAAAAAAAACTGATTCAGTTAGAACAATAAGTAGATTATTAACCATTACAGAACAACATTCCACATCTTCAGTTCCAGCATGCAAACAAGACAGAGACAGACAGACAGAAGAAGAAATGGACATACGGTAGAAACTGGCCATAACGTAGGTTTGACAGCGATCACCAGTAAAGTCATTTGGACACCTGATGGAAGGAGACAAAACCATAGAAAGAAAGAGAAAGGGAGAGAGTGTCGAGCAGAGAGAAAAGATGCAAGAGAAAGAGGAGAGGGTGAAAGCAAAAGAGAGAGAGGGGGAAAAGAAAGCAGAGAGAACATTAGGACAACAGCACAATGATGTACAGCAGAAGCAGAGGATCCCACTGGAGGCACCACTGTGTCTATCTCAGGACAGACTTAAGCCAGCAAGCCTTGGGAGGTGGAAGGAGGTAAGGGAGAGACAACAGTGGTAACCCAGTGACAGCCGGTCCTCTGTTTGCGGCTGTGCATCTCAAGTCAACATACTTTTATTAGGTTTGGGCATGTATAACTTCAGGGGCTCTGTCTGCAAACACCGCTGGCCGAAGTATCCATCCGGACATCTGGGGGAAGGAGAGGTGGAAAAGATGACACAGATATACAACAAACACACACACACACACACACACACACACACACATCACACACAGAGGCATTTATGCACAGCGAGGTCAGAAACACAGCTGCACAATCATTCGAATGCCAATCCGATTCTTCAAGCCATCGTTTGTTCAGGAAGAGGATTGAAAAAGACATTTTTTTAAGCATTTTCTTTTCTAAATATCCATAAACCATTCTTAAAACAAGATTTTAGTGTCTAATATTTTTACCGTCTAATATTTAAAGATTTTTATTGTTGTTGGAAATTTATCTTCGGTTTACACTACCATAGTTTTTTTTTTTTTTTTAAAGTGGTCTCTTATTCACAACAAGACTGCATTTATTTGATAAAAAATACAATAAAAACAGTAATACTGTGAAATATTATTACAATTTAAAATAACTGTTTTCTATTTGAATATATTTTAAAATACTATGTATTCCTGTGATGGCAAAGCCTGCATTTTCTGCAATTTTCAGTGTCACGTGATCCTTCAGAAATCATTCTAATATGCTGATTTGGTGCCTGAGATTTATTATTATTATCAATTTGCTTGAAAAAATTGCTTGATTTTTTTTTTTCAGGATTCTTTGATGAACAGAAAGTAAAAACAAAAAGGCATTTATTTTAAATATACTTTTTTTTGGGGGGGGGGAACAATGTAAAAGTCTTTACTGTCACTTTTGATCAAATGAATGTGTCCTTGCTGAAAAACAGTAGTAATTTATTTAAAAATAAATAAATAAATGGAACTGACCCCAACCCTTTGAATGGTAGTGTTCAGGACAGACATTTATGCATTTGACAGACGCTTTTATCCAAAGCAACTTACAGTGCATTGCATTCAAGGAACACATTTACATGATACCAGTTCTTGTTTTCCCTGGGAATCAAACCCACAACTTTGGAGTTGATAGCACCATGCTCTACTCATTGAGCTACAGGAAAGGCTGTGTATAGTGTTTATCTATTTATTTTTCCTACCACATTGGCAAGTTGTTTTACTCTTGTTTTAAGCATAAACCGCTATGATTAAAGCAGGGGAAAAAGATATGCAGTTGGTCCAGTATACAGGCTGGAATAAAGCAACCACATTTTTCTGCAAACACAAAGAGTTGAAGCTGCATCTCAGCCTATAAGCAGCACATCTCTATTATGGTCGCCTGATTATGACATGACTCTCATTCATGGATTTGATTGGCCAATTATGCTTATTCATGTTATTCCAGTAAACAAATTACGGCTCATCAGTGCGTAATGAGCGATATGGGGGTAATGTTTTCACAGCGTTAATTCCTCTAACTCGGTAACTACTCTAGTCAGCTATCACTGATGAATGGCCACCTTCAATTTCCAGGACAAACAGAAAGCAAGAGCGAGTGTTATGAATGAATGAATGAATGAATGAATGAATGATGCATTTATATAGCGGTTTACTGTGTATTGTTGTACACCCAAAGCGCTTTACAATCATGTGGGGGGGTCTCTCCTCAACCACCACCAGTGTGCAGCATCCACTTGGATGATGCGACGGCAGCCACAGGACAGCAGCGCCAGTGCGCTCACCACACACCAGCTACAGGTGGAGAGGAGAGAAAGTCATAGAGCCAATCAAGTGGATGGGGATTATTAGGAGGCCATGATTGACAAGGGCCAGGGGAGCAATTTGGCCAGGACACCGGGGTTACACCCCTACTCTTTACGAGAAGTGCCATGGGATTTTTAATGACCACAGAGAGTCAGGACCTCGGTTTAACGTCTCATCCGAAAGACGGATTATCTTCTGTCACCAGCTTATCTGCTGAACGCCGTATCCCTGTGCTTCCGAAGTCGGACCGCCAGAGGCAGGAGTGAATCGTAGCTCAGATTTATTTTGTTTTCCACGAAAAAGGCCAATTACTTGAGAAGCAAAAATGTGTAGTATATTAAAACTTTGTTTTCACAGAGCATGTATAGCTTCAGTCTTGCTTTAGGCCTAAATCTAACAACTTCATTCATTCCTTTCTCCAAATGAAGAACAGATCCTGTTTTGTCTATGTTCATTATTTGCCTAAAGCGTACAGTTTCTGATTTGTTCTCGTGTCTTTACCTTGAAGAAACGCGGTAATGTGGTGACATTTTCGAAGTGTGGCCTAACTTTGATATACCAGTCAAAACTCTGGACTTTTGATACAATCTTCAAAACACCTTGTGCTTTTATATTTCCTTACAAATCCAAATATTTTACAAAAAAAGAAAAAAACAAGAAACTGAAATTGATCATGAAAGGCAAACAGAAAAACTTTCTCACAAAAAATATGAAAAAAAAAAAAAAAAATTTTGATTTATTTATTATTAATAATGCCTTTATTAGGGTTCTAACATGTGTATAATAAAGCCGTTATTGATAAAACAATATAGGTGTATCCAAACTTGTTGATCATCAACCTCAGGAAGTCAAACTAAATATTAGAGTTTTATTTTCTGCTCATTTCATTTAGAGGTTTCCCATTTTAGCTGCCTAAACAAAATTTGAAACTTGAAAAAAAGCCACAAAAAAAAAAGATTTTGTGAATTTCAAGCAATGAAGTCATCATTAATTATAAATTAAATAATAATAATAATAATAATAATAATAATAATGTGATGTATCCAAACTTTTGACCGGCAGTGCAGTTCAAGTGTATTAATGATCTCTTAATATTTACAGTTAGAAACACCTGCTCCATTCTCCCATTTGCTTTATTTCTCATGCATCTTTCCATCATTCTCTTTTCTTCACATGCTGTCATGCTGTTTCCTCCAGTCTTTCCCCTTCCCAACCCCCTGAGCGTGTCCTCCTCAGCTCTGGACATGCATTTTTCATGGCCTCTCTTTCCCTGTCTTTCACTCTCACTCTCTCTCTTGCTCTCTCACTGGCAGCAGGAGCCGATAGACTCTGTTTAATGAAAATCTACAAAGACGATGAGAGAGAAACAGAAAGAGCGAATTTTTGCCAGAACTGGGCTGTAGAAGTAAACCTGAAGAAGACAAACATCATGATATTCCAAACAAACCTAGACGTCAGGAACACAGATACCAGTTCCAAGAATCCAGCTCCAGGTGGCCAAACCGTATAACGCATAGCACAGCACATGTACTGAAGCTGAACCATTACCACACTGGGAAGATGCAACATTGCAATGAGCCACATAGAACAGAAACAACCAAAAAAATACATGGCTATCTTTGTAGTCTGGAAAAAAAATGTTTTAAACATTTTTCATACAGTAAATGTTCTGTTAAACCAATGAATGTAATTTTTAAGAGACAGATCAGGTAGAAAGTTCCAAGTTAACAACAGCCATTTACATTTACAGTGCAATACACTGTGCAATAGAAAGCACTACAAACACAAAAAATAAAGCCTAAAAATAGCTCCCTCAGTCCGCTAGTTATAACATCTAATCCTGTTTTAAACACACATCAGTCTCTAACCAGCACCGCAGGCAAATCACACACGAATATCAGCCAGATCCTCAAAAAGCTAAAATGCATCTATACTATATTTGCTGAGCCTTTATGCTTTGTCATTCTGCTAATCTGTTTTCGTTATCTAACTACTCAAGTCTATTCTTTAAAGCTTTACTGTAAGGCTGTAGCTGACGTTTCACTGGGTAAAGCTGCCATAAGTCATGTGAAGGGCTCTGAGAGAGAAAAAGAAAAAAGGGTCTTTCTTCTGCGCCCTGTTGCCCTCGATCAGGTCGCTGTAACTCTGTAAAATGAGAGACTGAAAGAGTCCATTCTGACCCAGAAGGCTTTGTATCACTTCTATCCTGCTGGTGAATCTGTCCGAATGAATCAAAGAATGTAGAATTTATCCAGCAAACACACGTCATACCTAAATGACATTCTCATAGAAATAAAACCCGATCTCTTGATCGTCATTGTGTTGCATAATGAAGGATGCATCTGGTCTGAAGAAAAAGTACTGCTGTTATGGAAAAAAAAAAAACAGTTTCAAAGCAGCTGTTTTCATGCAATAATATTTGGAAAGTTTAATGGCACTTTCCACGAACAGAGTACACAAAAGTGCCTGAAGCACTTAGAAATTTAAGCTTTCGTTTTTTCAACAAATGGACAGTGAAAGGAGGCACTTAACTTGTTGATCGTCAACCTCAGAAGGTCAAACTAAATTTTATATGAGCAATTTTATTTTCTGTTCATTTTATATGAGGTTTGGCATTTTTGCAGCCCTGTGACATGTAAAATAAAGTTTAAAATCCAGATTTTGTAGCTACATTAAATACAAAATTAATAACATTTAATAAAAAATAAACTGCAAGAATGGGGTACGGGGTTGCAAGTTTAGCTTAAATTAAGCTATAATGCAGAACAGGCTAGCTAAGATTCAGTGATAAACTTATATTTTCAATTACTTACAGAAAAAATATTTGCTTTTTTTTTTTTCTTACAAAACATGTAGGATTAAAGGTTGAGCTTGATGAATGCAGTGAACAAAAATGTTTGTTAACATGTAAAATATAATAAGATGATTTACTTGTTTTATCTTTATGCTGCAGAAAGAGACCAAATAATGTTCTTCTTAGCTTCCAAAAATGCAAGGAATATTATGGAATATTTTAAAGAATGTATTTCTAAACATTCCACAGGTAAATGTGTCTGTTCATTAAAATTGGTTAATAATTAAGATAGCTTTTTTCTACAATAAACTGAACATCAGTTCAACAGGTTATATCAAAATTAAAACATTGTTGTATTGATTTGAATTGCTTGAGTTGAACAGGTCAAGACCTCCGAGGCAGGACAGGCCAAAATAAGCATTAGAAGAAGGCACTTAAAGATTTGATTTGTTTAAAATTAGCTAAAGTTCTAGGTTAATAATAATAATTGAATTACCAATATGCACTGTGTTCAAGAGAACACGGAGTAAAATGCACATATTATAGTAAAATGGCCACTAAACTCAATGACCTACAGTTTTCAGATCAGAACTTGTCCTTGATGTTCAGCACAAGTAGGTATCAGGGGCCCTGAAAAAGCAGTGCCGGATAGCAGTCTGGGGCCCCCTCAGTGGCGGGCCATGAATCTCCTCTGGCATTTCTCTCTCCTCCTCAGTTTTGTCATCTGTCCCAGTCTTATGTAAACATGACAGGGGTGTCGATGTGGAGCTGCTGTAACTTGGCAGGCCGTAAAATAGCCCCCACCCACCATCATCCCAGCAAGAAAATAATTATGTCCTGGGTCATTTATTACCTCTTCCTTCACTCCATATGTGTGTGTGTAACTTTGTATTTCAAAGAAAAAGACATGCATAAATATGAGGCAGCTTGTATGGCTGGACTTGTCTGACTGGTGAGTAATTCCTATGGAAGTCTGGCCTATATTGAATGAGATAGCTTCAGGCCAACAATTCCCAGCGGCCTTGACTGCATTATCCGACTTTTCTGGACCTGTGCCTCACCCAAGAGTGAATTAGCTGCAGCAATTGAGTTATCGCTCCTTCCAATTTGTACACAACTTATTGAATGGCTGTTGCAGCCATGTCTTGGCCGTTTGCTTGCTGTGCAGTATTCCAGTGATGCACACGCGCAGATGCGCACACCGTGCAGCTGGGCTGAAAATACCAGCAGGTGCACTCATAACATGGCGCAACATGCGATCTGAAATTGATTTAAAAAAAAAAGCACCTTACAGTTCATTGCCATAAGAAACCATCACATAAATAGCTTCTTATAACACACAAACACAAACTAGTTTCCACGTGCATCCTTATTTGTTATTACGCCCTTCGCAGCTACTTAATCGCCTTGGTCTTGTTTTGATAATGCGGGTGAAAATATTTTTTTCGGCCCATAACAAGACGTCCTGAGCATCCCTGATTTAAAAGCGTCCGTGTAAATCGGTGTCCTTTTCCCCTGTGATTGAAATGTAAGCAAACTGACTTATTTACCTTGTGGGAGGCCTCTGACTCTCGTAAATATTTGTTCCAGCACTAAACCAGCATGACATGGCATTTCACAATGGTTTGATGCACATCGCTCCAACACGCTAAACATGGGCCACCGGAGCAGGACGAGAGGCCTGTTTTTTTTTTCAATTCCCCAAGCACATCACAGTCATCTCACACTCATCAACATCTGCACCAGTGAGTCAACCCGCTGAGGGACTCGTCCGAAGATAGAGCAAAAGATGGAGAGAAAGAGAGAGAGAGTTTAAGTAGAAAAGGATGGGTGACTTGATGGATACCATTTGGCCATTGCTGGAAAAAGACAAGGAACTCTAAGAACTAGGGATTCTTACTTCACTTAGCGTGCAGTTCTTAATCTCTCAGTTAGAAGCATTATGAAGAACAGAAAGAAGGTAAACTGTAGAAGAAAATCATTGAATGAATGGCTGTTTATTTAATTATGGGTATAATTATGTCCCAGTGGGTTGATTTTTATTACAATAAACAGATTTCAACTCTTCTTTTTCTGTTTTCAACGTTCCATCATTTTGATATAATTACAAAATAAATAAATAAATATTAAATTACATCCATTTTTAAACAAATTATGTCCTTCAATTGTGCTGTCATTTCCACCACAACAAACCATTTTGCTTACAACCAGAACATTTTTATTACGTATCATGCCCAAGCTGTAATTTTGGTAAATTATGCAAGAAGTATGAAATTATTTTTCCCTAGGATCCATAAAATGCTAACTCTGAAATTAGCTAGATGAAGAGCTCAGCCATTTTATTCCAAAATGTTGTCGAACACAATAGATAATTTGAGATGTGGTGGAAAAGATACTTGATTGCAAAATAAAATAAAATAAAATAAATAAGCATAATTTACTTGATGAATGTAAATACACTGTTGAAGGTTTTTTTGTTTTACTTTTTTTTTCTTATTAATGTGCACAGGACCTAAAGTGCCCATAGTTTAAGAAAGAGCAAATATGCAGAATCCCATTGATTTTAATAAGGTTGGGATTGGTGTAATCAACAAGAGAGTGTGACTGAGAGAGAAAGAAGGTGAAGAACAATGTGATCCACCAGGAGTGTAAATAGACTGACACGTGGGAAAAGGCTCGGGAGAGAAACTCACTTGCAGGATAGCCGATTTATACCATGTATGTAGTAACAGTCGCCGCCATTCACGCAGTACGCCTTCTCTGACTCGTTGCATCTTCTGGCGTGACCCGAACCCGGAGATAACGTTGTGGTTACTGCAGGAAACAAAGACACAAACATTTTGAACATCAGCATGCCACCCCAAAAAAACAAAAGACAGAGCTTTCAGTGAGTGCAAACAATAAAGAGAACAGCCACGTGGTTGCACAAGAACCGAAAACACACATGCCAGCTTCTCAGATAACATTCATTACATGTTACTGATAATTTATCACATTTCAGCTCATGTCCCATTCCCAACAATAACAGTCATTCACTAGAACAATGACTCCTTGGTTTTCATTGCAAATCTCTCTGTACATCTTTGCTGCTCTGCTAAGGTTCAAGACGTTCGATAAGCAAAGATAAATATTTCAGCCCCACACACACCACCTGCTCCATCTGATTCACAGGTCTGGAATGGATCCGTAATCCAGCCGCATTATCGGAGCAACATTCAACATGTTTTGGGAATACTGCACCTCAGGGGTAAGAAAAAATGAGAGGCCTGGAGAAAATGATACATTGTGAAATCACATTACGGCTATACTAACAGCAATTTGTTTACCTATGGTACAAGTTCAAGGGGTGTACATTGGGGAACAATCAAATTTGTAATCAAAAGCAGAAATGTGAAGACTGATAGGGTAAACTGCTTCCCGCTGCCACATTATTCACATACCTATGCTGTTTCTCACCGCTGTTAAACTGAATATGTCTACAAACACTCGTGTCATCACCACCCAAATGATGCTTTTTCAAGCACGCAATGGTTTCTGTTTAGCACAGCACAGTGGAACATCTTTGTCATGCTGAAACTTGCGTTCAAAGCAAATGTTTAGAAGGAACATGCTTATTTAATCTCGCTAATCACAACGAAAAAGACAAATGCGTCTCCTCTAGCAATTTTTAAGGCATCTCTTTACCACATCAAGCCCACCGTTATTTATGTAATCAAAGACATATTGTGATATCCAAACTAATGTTGTTAGAGTTGCTTGTTAGCATGGCTCAGTTCGCCCCTGCTGGTCCATCCCGTTTCTACACCATTAGGGAGCAAAAAAAGCATCTTTCTGCAATGACAGCCATTCAAAAGTAGTCGTGTATTCTTGTATTATTTTTGGTGCATTTATTTATTTATTCAAGCAGCATACTGTATTATATATAAAGGGTCAATAAGGTCAATTTATGCTACCCATAAATAATATATAAAATTGCAATACCATTTAAAAGTTTAGAGGCAGTACATTTATTAATATTTTTGTTCAGCAAGGGTGCAACAAACTGATCAAAAGTGACAGTAAAGACATTCATAATGTTACAAAATATTTCTTTTCCAAATAAATGTTGTTTTTTTCTATTCATTAAAGAATCCTGAAAAAAGTATCACAAAAATATTAAGCAGTACAACTATTTTACGGTTTGATAATAATAGAAATGTATCTCGAGCAGCAAATCAGCATATCAGAATTATTTCTGAAGGATCATGTGACACTGAAGACTGGAGTAATGATGCTGAAAATTCAGCTTTGCATCACAGAAATAAATTGCTTTTTAAAATATATTCAAATAGAAGAGTTATTTTAAACTGTAATAATATTTCACAATGTTAATGTTTTCACTGGGTTTTTGATCAAACATATGCAGCCTTGGTGAGAATAAGAAACTTCTTTCAGAAACATTAAAAAAGAGAGATTTCTCCACATAATGTAGGCCGCATATGTGCCATTTTGATCCCACCGACTATTACCATTACAGGTATATTTACAGTTACACACTGCGGGACAAGTAGAAATTATGGTCTGAGGTAACTGACAGCATGCCACACATATGGTACATCAATCTAAGATAGAAAACAACCAGAAATATTTGTTTTACTCAAGTCTGGATTAATGTTTGAGACCCTCCACTGCAGACCACCAACCAAACGTTTATTTTTCTCAGAGATTACGTGAACATGAACATGTCATTTAACAAGTATGTTGAATTAGTTGACTAAACATGAGGGTGCAGAACCTTAAACATTTCGTATTCCTTTTTATAACATATCATTTATTTGTGTAAAATTTCACATAATCCCAAAACTTCCTTTTTTTAGGTTGAAATTAGATTGTGAATGCCAGATTTTCAATTCAGAGTTTTTTATATTTTTAATATATTTTTAAATTGTAATTTACTTCTGTAATGGCAAAGATGAATTTTCAGCAGCCATTACTCCAGTCTTCAGTGTCCAGATCCTTCAGAAATCATTCTAATATGTTGATTTGGTGCTCAGGAACATTTATTATTATTATTATTATCACAGTTGTTTTGTGGAAATCATGGTACATTTTTCAGAATTCTTTGAAGAATAGAAATTTCAAAATAACAGCATTTTTTATGACTTTTTTCTTACAATGTAGTCACTTTTGATCAATTTAATGCATCCTTGCAGAATAAAAGTATTCATTTCATTAAAAAAAAAAAAAACAAGAAAAAAGTAACTGACCTTAATTGATTTTTAAATGGTACTGTAAGATATCTTAAAGAACAAAAACGTAATGGCTAAATTTATTAATATATATATATATATATATATATATATAT